GGCGTTTCGGCTGCGCAGGTTTGGGTTCGAGCTCATAAGGCACGAAGTCCAGGCGGTGGCTGGTGTCTCCGTGGAAAGGGGCCGTGGAAAGGGGGGCCGCGGCCCCCGGTTTGAAGCTCGGCCGGGGCTGGGCGGCCCGGGGCACGTAGTCGTCCTGGAAGGTGGTGGGGTTCCCGAATCTCACCGTCGGGGGGTGGTACGCGTGTTCCGGTTTGTAGAGGTGGCTTTTCTCAGGGGCCCAAGCTCTGTAATCATCTTGGAAGGGAAAAGAGAGCATTTTTAGTATTTTTTAAAAATATATATGATTCTGTAAAAATGAAAGATAAAATAAAGCTGTACCTTTTGATATGTGAAAAAATAAAATTAAAAAGAAATATATATATGACTGATCACAGAGAGGAAGGGAGACGGAGAGAGAGAGAGAGAGGGAGAGAGAGAGAGAGAAACAGCCTATATAATAAAAGAGAAACATGTAAATTGACCGTCCCTCTGCTACACTCACCAGCCAATCAGGAATGAGTATGCAAATTAACCTGCCAAAGATGGCAGGTTAGTTTGCATGCACTGGCACCAGGCAGAGAGCGGGAGAGCCAGTGGAGAGTGGAGTGGCATGAGGAACTTGGCTCCCCAAGCCGCCAGACGGAGAGCAGAGAGGGAGAGCTGGCGGCTTGGAGGACTCGGTGAAGTGGGAGACCATGGGACAGAGACAGAGCAGGAAGGGAAAACCCAGAGCGTGGGGAGCACCAGGAATTCTGGGAATCGTAGTTCTGGTGGCAGACGGATCTCCTAGACCAGTGATGGTGAACCTATGACATGCGTTTCAGAGGTGACAAGTGAACTCATTTTTTTTTGGTTGATTTTTCTTTGTTAAATGGCATTTAAATATACAAAATAAATATCAAAAATATAAATCTTTGTTTGACTATGGTTGCAAATATCAAAAAATGTCTATATGGGACACGGCACCAGAGGTAAGTTAGGGTTTTTCAAAATGCTGACACACCAAGCTCAAAAGGTTCGCCATCACTGGCCTAGACACTAGAGCAAAGTGAGCCTGGAGCAAGTTACTGTTGTGGGGAATGGAGGGAAAGCAAGGGTGAGAGACATCAGTAACATCAGAGTGTCGAGGAAAAATTAAAGGGAACATATCCTAAAACTTCCAGGAAATCTCCACCAATGGAGCAAAGAAAAAAAAACACCTCTATTATTCTGTGAGCAACAAACCAAACTGGGTTGGGGGATCTCAGATTGAGGGCTCCCCGGATTGGAGAGGCTCCCCTGAGGGCTCCCCGGATTGGAGAGGCTCCCCTGAGGACTCCCCGGATTGGAGAGGCTCCCCTGAGGGCTCCCCGGATTGGAGAGGCTCCCCTGAGGGCTCCCGGATTGGAGAGGGTGCAGGTCGGGCTGAGGGACCCCCACACCCCCCAGTGCACGGATGTCGTGCACCGGGCCTCTAGTCAATGATAATAAAGGGCTAATATGCAAATGGTCATCACGCTCTCCACACTCCTGAGGGAACTGCTCAGACACTGGACACTGGGGAGAGAGGAATGGGGACCAGCCAGGCTGTGGCCTGGGAGAGGGACAAGCCACCCACCCACGGTCCCCTGCAGCTGTGGATGGCCTGGGCGAGGTCGGCCTGGGTCCTGGGTGCCTGCAGCCAGCCAGAGAGAGAGAAGCCTGGGTTCCGGGTGCCTGCAACTGGCCAAAGCAGGGGAAGCCTGCGTCCCGGGTGTGAGGGCCAACACAGAGGCAGTTAGGAGCAATCAGGCAGGCAGACGGGTGGGTGAGCAGTTAGGAGCCAGCGGTCCTGGTTTGCGAGAGGGATGTCCCCAATTGGAGAGGGTACAGGCTGAGGGGACAGAACTGGCCAAAGCAGGGAATTCTGGGTCCCAGGTGTGGGGTGAGGCAGAGGCGGTTAGGGGCGATCAGGCCAGCAGGGGAGCAGTTAGGGGTAACAGGCCAGCAGGGGAGCAGTTAGGGGTGATCAGGCCAGCAGGGGAGCAGTTAGGGGTGACAGGCCAGTAGGGGAGCAGTTAGGGGTGACAGGCCACTAGGGGAGCAGTTAGGGGCGATCAGGCCAGCAGGGGAGCAGTTAGGGGTGATCAGGCCAGCAGGGGAGCAATTAGGGGCAATCAGGCAGGCAGTTTAGTGGTTAGGAGCCAGTGGTCCCGGTTTGTGAGAGGCAGTCGGACATCCCCCAAGGGGTCCCAGATTGGAGAGGGTTCAGGCCGGGCTGAGGGCCGCCCTCCCACACCCCCTTGTCCCCATGCATGACTTTCGTGCACCGGGCCTCTAGTCAATGATGAGAGAGAATCTTTGACAAGCTGCCCCCTGCACGCCCCACACTGGGGATCGAGCCCGCAACCCGGACACGTGCCCTGACCGGGAATCCAACTGTGGCCCATACATAGGCCGACACTCAATTGAGCCACACAGGTCGGGCCAGACCTGTTCTTTCTCTCCATCTCCACCTTGCTCCCCCTCCCACCCCCCTTGGACACGGGTAGCTTTCCACTTCTAAATTCATCCGGTTACACGGCCCGGGAGAGGAACAGCAGCGGAGCCTGACTGTTGGTGGGTTCTGAAAGCGTGAAACCACTGTGTTCTGGGTGAAGACGGTGTAGGACAAGCACGTCCAACTCCCGCCCACAGGCCACGTGCCTCGGTGATTGGCCCGCGTGAGCCTTTGCGTTGGACATGCCCGGTGTAGGAGGTACGGCTGTGTTCCCAGGGGCTGGTGGGGATTTGTGCTATAACTCACAAGATGCTAACGTGAACCGTACGATCTAGAGTCACATCAAAGCAAGGGCGCTGCTCGCCCGCCCTGTGTGGCTCAGTGGTTGAGCATCAACCTATGAACCAGGAGGTCACGGTTCGAATCCCATTCAGGGCACAGGCCCAGGTTGCAGGCTCGATCCCCAGTGTGGGGCGTGCAGGAGGCAGCCGAGCGATGATTCTCTCTCATCATGGATGTTTCTATCTCTCTCTCCCTCTCCCTTCTTTTTGCAATCAATAAAAAAAAATATGTTTTTTTTAAAAAGAGAGGCAGGCCCTGACCGGTGTGGTTCAGTGGATAGAGCGTCTGCCTGTGGACTGAAGGTTCCCGGGTTCGATTCTGGTCAAGGGCATGTACCTTGGTTGCGGGCACATCCCCAGTGGGGGTTGTGCAGGAGGCAGCTGATCGATGTTCCTCTCTCATCGATGTTTCTAACTCTCTATCCCCTCTCCCTTCCTCTCTGTAAAAAATCAATAACATGTATTTTAAAAAAGAAAAAAGAAAGACCCAAGTCTGTAAAAATTTAAGAGAGAGAGAGAGAGAGAGGAGGCTCAGAAATACTGTAGAAGTGACCTCACCCCAAGTGTGTCTTTCTACATGCCCGAAATTAATTGATAAAGGAGGGGCGTTATACACGGCAGAGTGGTAGAGTCCAGACAAGGCCACGGTCATGTGTATTTGAAAGGCCGAGACTCAAATGCTTGTGAGGACACCTCCTTTGAAGAGAAAAAGTCCTCATCCGTTAGACATTTCATCCAAGACGGCCAAGTCCGGGGCCAACCACTGCTCCCACGTCCAGCTACTGGTATTTGGTGAGAGCAGATACCTGAGCTGTAGGCTAGCTGAGGCCTCGGGGACAACTCGGCAAAAAAAGATGGGTCAGTCAAGCATATTCTTTTAAAAAAATCTATTATAATAAAAGGGTAATATGCTAATTAGACCGGACATCTTCCAGACGTCATTCCGGGCGTCCTTCCTGACGAAGCCAGGGCCGAAGTTGAAGCCGGTGCCGGCAGCCGGGGAAAGGAAGGCCTACGCTTGCACGAATTTTCGTGCATCGGGCCTCTGGTATATACATATTTTTATGGATCTCAGAGAGGAAGGGAGAGGGAGAGAGAGAGAAACATCCATGATGAGAAAGAATCATGGATCGGCTGCCTTCTGCACGCCCCCCACTGGGGATGGAGCCTGCAACTCAGGCCTGAGCCCTGACCGGGAATCGAACCTGTGACCTCCTGGTTCCTAGCCTAGGTCGACGCTCAACCTCTGCACCACGCCGGCCGGGCTGTGAGTATGCTTTGAGTTGTAGCAAAACTAAGCAAATGGCTGAATGTGTCCTGGAATCCAGGTCTCTTAACTCTCAAGCAGCCAAATGGTCTTTTTTTTTTTTTTTTCAGTATACAATATTATTTTGACCAAAGAGAAAAATGATTTCTCCTAAGCCAGGAAGGCTACGTTTGGCAACACAACAAAATAATGATTGGATGTTAGATGTCAAAGCTATAAGTGAGTCCCAGTGTTTCGGTTCCGTCATTTTTTATTTTATTTTTTAATATATTTTTATTGATGTCAGAGAGGAAGAGAGAAGGAGAGGGAGATAGAAACATCGATGATGAGAGAGAATTGTGGACCGGCCGCCTCCTGCACGCCCCCTACTGGGGATCGAGCCTGCAACCCGGGCCTGTGCCCTGACCGGTAATCGAACCCTGACCTCCTGGTTCCTAGGTCGATGCTCAACCACTGAGCCACACCGGCCGGGCTGGCTCTGTCCTTTTAGAAACGGGGTTACCTTTGTAGGTGGGGACCGTGTCCAGCTTCCCTTTCTTCACACTTCGTCTCTCCAGGGGCCGGACTCTGGCCACGGGGTGCACCGGATACGCGTTAAAGTCCTGTCTGTAGGTGGTGTCGAGATCAATGTCCCCCTGTTTGGGTCTGTATTCTTCTGGTAGGTGGCGAGGCGGGGGGACTACTTCGTAGGGGCGGTAATCTGATCTGAAATACAGACATTGGACACATAGCCTCATAGATTCTTTTATTTCCAACTAGAGGCCCGGTGCACAAATTCGTGCACAGGGGGTGTGTCCCCTGGGCCAGGTAGGCAATCCGGGCCGCTGGGGGGAGGGACTACGGGAGGTTGGCTGTCAGAGCCCACTGACTACCAGGGGGCAGCTCCTGCATTGAGCGTCTGCCCCCTGGTGGTCAGTGTGCATCACAGCTACTGGCCGGTCGTCTGGTTATCTGGTCATAATGGTCACTTAGGCTTTTATATATACACTGAGTGTCCAGGTTATGATGACTACCCCCATCAGTACAATGAAGTGAATTAGTTATGCAAATAACAACAACAATAATAATAAAACCTTGAGAGTATTTGCTTAGGAAGTTTTCAATATTCAGTATTTTTGGAAGTGTCAATGAAGTTCTGATGGGGTGGTCATCATAATCTGGACACTCACTGTATATAGATTCGAGGCCCGGTGCATGAAATTCATGCACGGGGGTCGGGGAGCCCCTCAGCCCGGCCTGCACCTTCTCCAATCCGGGACCCCTCAGGGGACATCCCTCTCACAATCTGGGACCGCTGGCTCTAACAGCTCACCTGCCTGCCGGCCTGATCGCCCCTAACTGCCCTCCCCTGCCGGCCTGATCGCCCCTAACTGCCCTCACCTGCCGGCCTGCGCCCCTCGCCTACCAGCCTGATTGCCCCTAACCACCTCTGCCTGGGCCCCTGCCACCATGGCTTTGTCCAGAAGTAAGGCAGGATGACCAGAAAATGTCCAGTGGACCCAATCTAATTAGCATATTACCCTTTTATTAGTAGAGATTGTTTCCATGCAGTATTGGAGTTTCCAAAGGAAAGTGTTAGAAGATATTAAAATAGTGACAGCTGATTAGCTACTTGAAAGAAGTAACTGGCCCGGCCGGTGTGGCTCAGTGGGTGAGCATCGACCTGTGAACCAGGAGGTCAGGGTTCGATTCCCGGTCAGGGCACATGCCCAGATTGCGGGCTCGATCCCCAGTGTGGGGCGTGCAGGAGGCAGCCGAGTGATGATTCTCTCTCATCATGGATGTTTCTCTCTTTCTCTCTCCCTTCCTCTCTGAAATCAATAAAAATATATTTTTTTAAAAAATTTAAAAAAGAAATAACTGAACTCCTTTATGCTCTGCCCAGTGACTAAATACCTGGAGAAATAAGTATGGCAAGCACCCCAGTTTCCAAGGCATCATCAGAATGGGTCTGTGGGTAACTGCATCTTACGTAAGTAAAATCTTCCCACAGTTGAGTGCTTTTCCCTAACCTGTAAGGCAATCTCCGGTGAACATTTTACTGGATCTGAAATAAATTTTCAATGTGCCCTCAGGGTCCACATTGTCAAAATCCTTACCCATCCTACATCCTACTGAAAGTATGGGCACATGCTCTCCTCCTGCTCAGCTTTCAATAATAAATTCGCACCTTTCTACATAAAACACATTCAACCCCAGCCGGTGTGGCTCAGTGGATAGAGCATCGGCCTGTACGCTGAAGGGTCCCGGGTTCAATTCCGGTCAAGGGCACAGGCCCGGGTTGCGGGCTCCACCCCCAGTGGGGGGCGTTGCAGGAGGCAGCCGAGCCATGATTCTCTCTCATCATGGATGTTTCTATCCCTCTCTCCCTTCCTCTCTGAAATCAATAATAAAAAAATATACTTTTTAAAAAATCCAGTTACCTGCTTTACATCCTTCCTGCTTTAGCTCATTTTTCACGTCTCCCCGAAAAACCCCAACCTCTCCTATTCTGGCTCTCCAGTTGCCTTCATCGTTTTTATCACTGTTGCACTTTTTTTTAAAATAAATACATTTTCATTGATTTCAGAGAGGAAGGGAGAGGGAGAGATAGAAACATCAGTGGTGAGAGAGAATCATGGATCGGCTGCCTCCTGCACTGGGGGTCGAGCCCACAACCCGGCCATGTGCCCTGACCGGGAATCGAACCCGGGACCCTTCAGTCCGCAGGCCGATGCTCTACCCACTGGGCCACACCAGCCACGGCCCTTGTCGCACTTTTATTCTTATTCTGAGGGATGTTTTTGATTACCCCCTTCACAGAGAGGTCGTGACTGTATGGTTCCTGCTCATCCTTGTTTCCCAGGTGCCTGACACGGAATAAATGCTCCATAAATATTTATTATTTAGTGGGTGCAGAGCAGCAGAAGTCCCACGCCTCTGTCTCTTGCAACTTGTGAGTTGCTCTTTGCTATTCCCGAGAGCCAGCTAGAGGGGAAGGAGGCGGGGAGGTCAGGGGGGTGTGGGCTACACAGGGGAGGACAGAGAAAGCTTAGAAGTCTCTGTTTCTCACCCTGACTGGTATGGCTCAGTGGATAGAGCGTTGGCCTGCAGACTAAAGGGTCCCGGGTTCGATTCCGGTCAAGGGCATGTACCTGGGTTGTGGGCACATTCCCAGTGAGGGGCGTGCGGGAGACAGCTGATCGATGTTTCTCTCTCATCGATGAAATATATCGATGCCGGTTCACGATTCTCTCTCATCATGGATGCTTCTCTCTCTCTCTCTCCCTTCTTCTCTAAGATCAATAAAAAATATATTAAAATAAATAAATAAAAATTGCTTGGGTTTGCGGTGTACTTTCTAACAAGTAACTAACCTGACTGGAGAAATTCAGACTTCTTCTTTTTAAATATATTTTATTGATTTTTTACAGAGAGGAAGGGAGAGAGATAGAGAGTTAGAAACATCGATGAGAGAAACATCGATCAGCCGCCTCCTGCACACCCACCACTGGGGATGTGCCCACAACCAGGGTACATGCCCTTGACCAGAACCGAACCTGGGACCCCTCAGTCCGCCGGGCACGCCCCCCCTACTGGGGGTCGAGTCCGCAACCTGGGCCTGTGCCCTTGACTGGAATCGAACTTGGGACCCTTCAGTCTGCAGGCCGGCGCTCTATCCACTGAGCAACACCGGCTGGGGCGTAAGTGCACTTTTATTCATTGGACATGTCCCCACAACATTGTACGTGTCCAGAGCAATACTTTCCGCGCAGACTTCTGTCACCTCAGTCGTGCGGTTGGAATGAGCTCTATGGGAAACAAAATGAGAACCGGTAACACTGCCCAGCCGATGTGGCTCAGTGGTTGAGCGCCGACCTAGGAACCAGGAGGTCAGGGTTCGATTCCCAGTCGGGGCACAGGCCCGGGTTGCAGGCTCCATCCCTAGTGTGGGGCGTGCAGGAGGCAGCTGATCCACGATTCTCTCTCATCATGGATGTTTCTCTCTCTCCCTTCCTCTCTGATATCAATAAAGACATTTATATGGTAACACTAAAAATGAAAGTTGTTATAGAGTGTGTTTTTTATTTTTTCATGTAACTTTTTTTTATATTTTATTGATTTCAGAGAGGAGGGGAGAGGGAGAGAGAGAGAGAAACACCCATGATAAGAGAGATCATGGATCAGCTGCCTCCTTCACGCCCCACACTGGGGGTCGAGCCCGCAACCCGGGCCTGTGCCCTTGACCAGAATTGAACCCCGGACCTTTCAGTCCACAGGCTGACGCTCTATCCACTGAGCCACACCAGCCAGGGCGAGTGTGTGTTTTTAAAACCCCAAATTATAGAAATCTGACGTCTGAGTTCCTTGAAAGCATGAAGTACTCATGGAGGCTTTTGTACTTCATGCCCAAGACCGTGCCTTGAATGTAGTCGTGGGCACCTGAACAGTATTGAGAACATGAAGCCATTGCATGGACAGATACACAAGGAGATCAAGAAGGCTCAGTCCAAATGAAAAGTGTAAGCTCAGGAGGACTTTTTTTTTTTATCACCCGCTGAATAAATACTGAGGACCTACTATGCGCTCGTAGGCATTGCCCTAGGTTTGTGGAAACAGAATGCTGAGGTAAGAAAGGACAGACACACTTCCTACTTTTACAGAACCGAGAGACCAACCTAATCATACATGTTAGGCAGACACCAGGAGAGCTGGCCTGAGGTGTTGGCCTGGGGTGTCCAAGGCATTGAGACGGATGCCTGAGTGCAGGGGCATTATCTAGGGTCAGAGGGCAGGGAGTTCTCAGGCAGGTAAACCCGTATCTTTTTTAAAAAATATACATTTTATTGATTTTTTTACAGAGAGGAAGGGAGAGGGATAGAGAGTTAGAAACATCGATGAGAGAGAAACATCGATCAGCTGCCTCCTGCACCCCTCCCACTGGGGATGTGCCCGCAACCAAGGTACATGCCCTTGACCGGAATCGAACCCGTGCCCTTTCAGTCCGCAGACCGACGCTCTATCCACTGAGCCAAACCAGTTAGGGCTAAACCCGTATCTTGGGAGGCTCTGTGGCAAGTTACCCCTGGGGCTTGCGAGAAATGAAACATGTCCTGTCCTATAGAATAAAAGCCTAATATGCTAAGTGTCAGGTCGTCTGTTCAACCAATCAAAGCGTAATAGGCTAATGATATGCTAAGGCTGCTCAACCGCTTGCTATGACATGCACTGACCACCAGGGGGCAGACGCTCCAACCGGTAGGTGAGCTTGCTGCTGGGGTCTGGCTGATCGGGACTGAGCGAGATGGGCCGGACACGCCTTGGAGCCCTCCGCGGTCCCTCCCCAGTTGGCCAACCTCCTGTGTCCCTCCCTGGCCCCGATCGTGCAACAGTAGGGTTCCTGGGCCTGGCCTGCCCTCCTGCGTCCCTCCCTGGCCCCGATCTTGCAGCGGTGGGGTCCCTCGGACTGGCCTGCACCCTCTCCCAATCTGAACCCCTCAGGGGATGTCAGAGAGCCAGTTTCAGCCTGATCCCACAGGCCAGACCGAGGGATCCCACTAGTGCACGAATTCGTGCACTGGGCCTCTAGTGGGATATAAGCGTAAGGGCCCAAAGGGCATTGTAGGGGGAAAAAGTTAGAGAAGCAAGTAGGAGCCAAGCACAGGCCAGGCCGAGGGACCCCACTGGTGCACGAATTCGTGCACTGGGCCTCTAGTGGGATATAAGCGGAAGGGCCCAAAGGGCATTGTAGGGGGAAAAAGTTAGAGAAGCAAGTAGGGGCCAAGCCATGAAGGGGTTTTGGTAAAGATTTGGGTGTGCGTGAAATCCAATAAATTCAATTCAAAAAAATTGCAACCCGAAAGATAAAACATTTGATTTTTTCTAAAAAAGAAAGACATATGATAGGAAAGTATAAGAGGATTTTCAGCAGGGAGGCCAAAGGATTCGATTTGCATTTTAAAAGAAGATCATCGTGCCCTGGCCGGTGTGGCTCAGTGAATAGAGCGTCAGCCTGGGGACTGAAGGGTCCCGGGTTCGATCCCGGTCAAGGGCGCCTACCTCGGTGGCAGGCTCCTCCCCAGCCCGGGGCCCTGGTGGGGCTCATGCAGGAGGCGACCCATCGGTGTGTTTCTCTCACATTGACATTTCTGCCTTTCCCTCGCTCTTCCACTCTCTCTAAAACTCAATGGGCCCTAACTGGTATGGCTCAGTGGATAGAGCGTCGGCCTGTGGATTGAAGGGTCCCGGGTTCGATTCCGGTCAAGGGCATGGACCTTGGTTGCGGGCACATCCCCAGTTGGGGGTGTGCAGGAGGCAGCTGATCAATGTTTCTCTCTCATCGATGTTGCTAACTATCCCTCTCCCTTCCTCTCTGTAAAAAAAAATAATAATAATAAAATAAAATAAATAAAAATCAATGGAAAAATATCCTTAGGTGAGGATTAAAAAATAAATAAAACAGTTCGGAGGAGCCACAGATATAACCGTCAGGGAACGACTACATGCTTCTAGGCCATGGTGACAGCAGAGAACAGATAAGTACGAGGGATGTGAGCAGGTCAAACCATCTCAGTCGAACTTCTATGTCCCAGCTCATTGCCTGTCATTCGAACTCAGTTCTCGCCTTTCTGATTTTTTCTCACGCGACGACCCCACTCGCTTCTTGTGTCTTGGATGGGTTCCAACTTACTACCTGCAACCGAGGAGCTCCT